CAGTCGACTACATAGGAGTCCAGTGACATAACCATTACACCAACTGCTGGTCCCTTCATTCATTTATTTTTAATTTGACCAGAGATAGATAGAGAGAGAGAAGGTAAAAAAAAGTAAGCCACCAGGTCCAGGACTTGAACCATGGTTGGCCATGTGGGAGTGTCCAGTGCCTTAGCCACCATGCCACCTGCTAGTCCCTCCAGTGTGATTTTCAAGTTGCTGGCTCTGGGACTCATCCCTGTGGGAGTCCAATGACGCAACCGCGATGCCCTCTGCTGGCCCCTGTTCTCCGTCTCAACTGGCTTGGTTAAGGTACCCAGTTCCGTCACACTGAAGAACCTACATCGTTCTATCGTCATCCAGTCGGTGAGGTGGATTCCACTGAAAAAGTGGGCTCCGGAGACTTGATCGAGGTCGTGCGGCAGGTGAGGGGGCGTTTAAGCTCAAGTCTGATGCCAAGTTCCTCCCTGCGCACTCTTCAAGGCCCCCTGGGGTGAACAGCTCACCCCGAACGCAGCCTGGACGCCCAGAAGTTAGTTCTGGACCCTGTCCCTCCCTGCCCCTACTTCTTACCTTGGGTCCCGGACGTCCTGGGTAACCCGGAAGGCCTGGCACCCCAAGCTTCCCCTGCAGATAGGTTATTGGACAAAGGTCAGAAGCTGCAATCTGCAGGCTGCAGGGGAAAGGTCAAGGTGTCTGGGGCAGGGTGGAGGGGCAATAGGTGGGAATGGGGAAACTGGGTTCGAGTCCTAGCTCCTCCCTGCTAGAAGAATGTCCTTGGACAGGCCATTCATCCATTCCAAATCTCAGCTTCCTTATCTGTGAAGTGGGGGTAAAAATGCCAACAGCGGGGCCAGCAGGCAGCATGGTGGTTAAGGTGCTGGACTCCCACATGATCGACTGCGGTTCGAGTCCTGGACCTGGCGATCTAGGACTTTCTTGTCTTCCCGCTCTCTCTGTCTCTGTCTCTCTCTCTCTGGTCAAATTTTAAAATAATAATAGGGACCAGCAGATGGAGTAATGGTTATGTTGCTGGACTTTCAAATAGTCGACCATGGTTCAAGTCCTGGACCCAGCAGCTTAAAACTCATGCCAGATGTGCGTGTCCAAGATCCCGAGAGGAGAATGGAGGGGAAGGGATTGTGGCGTGGCCATCTCCCCTGGTGGGGGGTGTGATTTCTCACTTTCTGTCTCTCTGTCTCTCTGTCTCTCTGGCGAGCACATGGGCCCTATAGCAAAACCTCTCCAAAAAAAATAAAATTCTATTTAAAAACTCTGGCAGTATGCAGTCATTGTGGGGATGAAAATGCCGGGCGTGCCTGGATTTTCTCTGGCACGCTGAGCTGAGGGGTTAAAGGAGGTAACAAGGGTGGGCACGGCCTCCTGAGGTCACAGACAAAAGGGCAAAGGCCAGAGGCCAAGGGTCAGAAAGGCCTTGGCTGCAGGGTGGAAAGGTGGAGGTGGGCCAGGGGACAGAGGTTCATTCACCTTCTCCCCGGCTGAGCCTGGGGGCCCCTCCTTGCCAGCCTGTCCCTCCTGTCCCTTGGGGCCCTCAGGGCCATCTTCGCCCCGGGGACCTGGGGGTCCGGGGTGCCCCTGGAACAGAAAGAAGAGGCCTTGGTATTATGATTGCCCTGCCGGCTCCCTCCGCGCACCCTCATCTGAACCCCAGCTCCTTCCCTGTTGTTCCCAAGCTCCTCAGATGACCCCTCATCTGGCCCCATCTTACCCGATCTCCCTTGAGCCCTGCGTCACCCTTGAAGCCTGGGAAGCCGTCCTCTCCCTGGATGGGAGAGACAGAGATCAGAGGTCAGGGCCTCAGAGGAGGGACGCGGCCTGGGCCCCATTCCCGGCTCCCCTCCTCCCTTCTCACCTTCTCGCCTTTCTCCCCCTGGAAGCCCCGGTTGCCTGAAGTGCCCTGAAAAAAAGAAAGAAAGAAAGAAATCAAAGCTGTTAGGCCCCTTCCCTGCTTAAGAAGGGCCCCCAATTCAGCCCCCCTTTCTTGAAACAGCCAGGACAGTACTAAAAAGATGCTGGATGGGGACCTGCAGGTGGCGTGGTGGTTAAAGCGCTGGACTCCCACGTGGGTGGCTGTGGTTTGAGTCTCAGTCCTGGTACCTTGCTTTTTCACTTTCCCTTTGTCTCTCTCTCTCTCTCAGGTCAAATTAAAAAGTAATAATGATAAATAATTAAAAAAAAAAAAAAAAGAGGATGCTGGACCAAGCAGGGTTAGGGCAGCCTCAGGGGATGTCTCTTTCCCCAGACTCAGAGCCTGCTAGCCTGGGGGTGCATGCTCCCCTCCCCGGTCACTGGCAGCCTCCCCAGATCATCTGTGTGGGGGTGTGCAGAGAAAGGCTACATTTCCAAGGAACTGATTCCCATCTCCTGGGGACACTATGTCCACAGTTCCTTCTGGCAGGAGAAAGAGTATGAACATTCCAGGGTCCGGCCTCCTTTTCAAGGCAAAGGAATGTCCCCGTTGAGCTGGCTACAAGGAGACTGTGTTTGGCTACAGCTGGGCTGTTGGTAATCCGTCCTCACCAAACCCTAAGATTGCACTTGGCTGTCTACACTGTAACTGGCCTCCAGGGAGAGAAACAGTACTCAGATACAGTGTATCAATAACCTAGCCCAGCTGCTGCAGAGGCTGGCCTGGCTGCAATTGTTCTCCAGTATTGGCTACAATGTATCCAGACAGGGATAAGCACCCAGTAGATGGCTACAATGTATCCAGACAGGGACCAGCAACCAGCAGATGGCTAATGGTGACATCACAGGACTCCCACCTAGTTGACTGCAGTTCGAGTCCCGGACCCGGCGGCTTGCAACTCACGCCATGTGCATGTGTGTACATGTCCAAAATCCCGAGAGGAGAATAGAGGAGAAGGGATTGCAGCGTGGCCATCCTCCTAGGGGGTGATTTCTTGCTTTCTGTCTCTGTCTCTCTGGTGAGTGCACACATCCTATAGTAAAAATCTCTCAAAAAAACCAAACCAAACAAAAAAAGCATCTAGACAGTGCATTACTGCTTTCAACATAGAATAGCATTGTCCACTCCACACTATGTAACTAGACTCAGCTAGGACTTTTTCTTTCACCGTTACCAGCATACAGTTACTGTAATAGCTAGGACTAAGCCTGCCTACAATGGAACTGAGTTTGTATATTAGTAGGATTCTGACCATCTACCCTATAACCACCTCCTCCTTCTTCTTCTGAAGAGGTTTTGCTAAACACGCATGCACACATACCCAGTGTGAGTTTAAACCACTGGGTCCGGGACTCGAACCATGGTGGACCACATGGCAGTCCAGCGACATAGCCATTACGCCAACTGCTGGTCCTGTAACCCACCTTCTAGAGTGTGGTGTGACTGAGTCTGTCTACAATGCAAAACCTGGGTCAGCAGGTGGCGTGCAGGTTAAGGCACTGGATCCCACATGCCTGGCTGCATGGTCCAAATCCCGGATATGGTGGCTCGAAAACCACACCAGGGGACCAGCAGATCCCATAGTGGTTACATGGCAGGACTCCCATGTAGTCGACCACAGTTTGAGTCCCGGATCTTGTAGCTTGAAACTTACGCTGTGCACATATGTGTGCGTACCCAAAATCCCGAGAGGAGAATGGAGGAGGAGAGATTGCAGCGTGGCCAGACCTCCTGGGTGTGTGTGTGTGTGTGTGTGTGTGTGTGTAATTTCTTGATGTCTCACATTCTGTCTCTCCATCTCTCTCTGTTTATCTGCCGAGCACACACACCCTAGAGCAAAAATCTCTCTTAAAAAAAAAAGGTGTTGCACTCCCACATGGCTGATCATGGTTGGAGTCCTGGACCTGGTGGCTTGAAACTCACACCAGGCGTGCGTGCGGGTGCATGTGTGCCCAAGATCCTGAGAGGAGAAGGGAGGAGAAGGGATTGCAGTGGGGCCATTCTCCCTGGGGGGGGGGGTGATTTCTCACTTTCTTCTCTCTCTTTCTGGAGGGCATGCACACTATAGCAAAACTAAAACAAAACAGAAACAAAATGAAACAACCAAGCACTCACACAGGAGCCATCCTTGGCTACAATGTAACTGGAGCCAACTACCCTATGGGCATGAACTCCAATCAGTCAACAGCACTGCTCTGTCTACCCTAACAGGCAGTACATGCTAGTGCACACACATGCACAGCACACATGGATGTATGACGACGCGGTCCTCCTGACATGACGGTCCCTTATTCCTTGCCTGGCTGCCTGGACCCTCTCTCCAAGCATCCCCAAGTTTCTGGTGGAGCTGTTTCCCCAAAGTCAATCTGACAAATTGCTCCTGCTTGCACACCGCAAGTCTCACCTACCTTCACGCCCCGAGGTCCAGGATAGCCCGGAGGGCCAGCCGACCCTGGTGGACCCTGAAAGGAAGAGAAGATTAGCCACACCTGTCCGCAGTCTCTGCGTCCTCATCTCTCTCCCCACTGGCCCCGACTCCTAGCCCTGTCAGTCGGTCCTCGTCCCCAATCTAGTCCCCTTCTTTGTCACTCACCTGGGTCCCTTTCTCTCCCGTAGGACCCTCATGGCCCGGGTGACCCTGGGGAAGGAGAAACATTCTAAATGGTTAGAGACCCAAATTGGCCACCCAATTCCCAAGCCTCCCCACTTCTCCTTCCTCCTGTCCTCAGCTCCTGGTTCTCACCGGAGGGCCATCAGCTCCTGGGAGGCCTGGAATTCCTGGGTTCCCAGGGGGACCCTGAAAAGAGATGAACATTAGTGGCCGACGACGGAGGGTTTCTGAGTCCTGGGGTTCTGCCAGGAGTGGGAGCAGTTCTACTTGGAGAATATGAATCCTCCAACCCTCAGGGCAGAAATGCTATCCCAGCTCTGCCCAGACCTGCTGTGTGACCCTGGGCAAGCCCCTTTCCCTCTCTGAACCTTAGAAATGTCGTGCCACCGAGAGAGTGGAGAGAAGGGATGTATCGACAGCCTGAGAGGGCCAGCCAGGGGCGCAGCAGGAAGGTGCTGCTCAGCGATACTGGATCCATATGGCGAGCTATGGGTTCAATTCCACAGTCAGCCTGTACAGACTGGCTCGTGTGCCCGGGACCCTGACAGGCTGGGAAGGCTGGGAGGCGGCCTCTGCAGGGTGTCTCTCTGTCTCTGTCTGTCTGTCTGTCTTTTACAGCCATGAAAGAAAGCCTCTGCAGGGTGTCTCTCTGTCTCTGTCTGTTGTCTTTTACAGCCATGAAAGAAAGACATTTTTTTTGTTTATTTATTTATTTTGCCACAGGTTGTGTGCACTCTCCAGAGAGACAGAGAGAGACGTAGAAACAGAAAGCGAGAAATCACCCCCCAGGGGGGATGGTCACGCCGCAATCCCTTCTCCTCCATTCTCCTCTCGGGATCTTGGGCACACACGCACATGCGCCCGGTGTGAGTTTTAAGCCACCGGGTCCGGGACACGAACCGCAGTCGACTACGTGGGAGTTCAGCGACATAGCCATTATACCAACTGCTGGCCCCTGCAGTTTTTTCATAATACACGTTTGCCATGAACTTGTTGAAGGCTTCGTGTAGAAGTTGGGAATGAGGAAAAACTCAGGTCCGGGTAGAAAGCTTGTCTAGAGCTGGCAGGTGGTGTGGTGGTTGAGGCTCTGGACTTCCACGTGACTGATTGTGGTTCAAGTCCCAGACCCGACAGCTTCCTTTCTCACTTTCTCTCTCTCTGTCTCTCTCTGGTAAGCACATACACCTTATATGAAAAAAAATTTTTTTTAAATACTAGTGATAATAAATAAACTTAAATAATTTCTTAAAAAGAAAAGGGGGCAGGGGGAACCAGCAGATGGTGAAATGGTTATGCCACTGGACTCCCATGTAGTCAGCTGCAGTTCAAGTCCCAGACCTGGTGACTTAAGACTGACACCAGGGGCCTGCAGGTGGCATGGTGGTTAAGGGCACTGAACTCCCACATGGCCAACCCTGGTTCAAATCCTAGACCTGGCACCTTGCTTTCACATTCTCTCTCACTCTGTCCCTCTCTGGTCAAATTAAAATAAATAAAGTTAAATTTTAAAAAATAATAATAATAAAAACCCTGACTCCAGGCGCGTATGCGTACATGCCCAACCAAGATCCTGAGAGGAAAATGGGGGAGAAGGGATCGCAACATGGCCATCCCCCTCTGGAGGGTAGTTTCGCACTTTCTGACTCTCTCTCTCTCTGTCCAACGAAAGTACGCATCCTGTAGCAAAAAACCTCTCAGAAAAATAAATAAATAAGGGAGCTGGCAGGTGGTGTGGTAGTTAAGGGTGCTGGACTCCCACCTGGCCGACTGCGGTTTGAATCCCGGACCTGGCAGCTTGCTTTTTCACATTCTATCTCTCTCTCTCTCTGTCTCACTCTGCCCTTCTCTGGTCTAATGAAAATAAATAAATAAATGGATAAATAAAGTTAAATAAAATAATTATTTAATAAAGAAAGAAAGAAGCAGCTGCAGTGTGTCTGGCAGAGGAGATGGGGACAGACAGGCAGGAGAGCAAAGCCGAGGACGTG